CCATTGAGAGCAAGATTATCGCAAGACATCTGACAAAGACCAACATAAATCTGTTTAGAAACAATTTTCGGAAAGTCCCCACAAAAGCCAATGGATTTTAGTTTTAGCATTTCACTTACAAAGCTTTCTAAAATACTATTGTAGCTATAAACTTTCAAATCTTGAGTATAACAAAGCGCTAATAGATGTATATTAGCATAACAAGAGTTATGGCTCGGAGGCAAATTTAGGATTGTATAATAAAAAACTCCAACATTGCTGGTTGATGCATTTCCACGAAGTGGATTTGTTGTACCCATACCATCATAGAATAGTTGAATCATGATAGAATATTTATTATTGTCACTAAATAAATAATGTTTTTTAAAACAGCAAATTAAATCATCATCTTCAATTTGATTACCAAACATCAATTCTACAAATTCTTCACTACTAAATAAGCTACGAAAATTGTTTTCAATTGACACATATTCATAGATGTCATAGATTAATCTATTTAGTCCATTTTTAACCTCATACCTAGAACCAATTGGAAGTGTTTCAGAATTAACAAAAAGGGGATGTTCAGCAAAGTATTTATCTTGTTTGTATTTTGTAGAAAGAAAATCGAGAGGTTTTCGAACCATAATAAATACTTCTTCAATATTATTTACAACATCTTGATGAATATTAGGCACACACTTTAACAACTCCTGAACTTGTTCATTTAAATAATCTGATAAACAGTCAGCCACGTGATTGAAGGATGGAATGACACATAAGATTATATTATGTGGCGAACCACTGTTTGATCTCAGAAAAGATACTAAAGAAACTGCCTCATGATGAATGTTTGAAAGCTTGTACCGCTTATTTTGATCTTCTCTTCCATAATTACAATCATCATCATTATTACATAAAGTGTTGCAATTAGTGACAGGGACACAAACTTCTTTCTCGTAATGTGACTGATTGTGATACTTATTCATGTGTCTTTTGAGGTTCCACAAATTGCGAAATGAACTAGTACACTTAGCTTGACAACAGCGAACAGGCATTCTTAATTCACCAGCAGCTTCATGATTACGTAGATGAGAGTGTAGTTCTTTAACTTTAAAAAATAATTCTCCGCATAAATGGCATTGATACATTGAATCATAGTTATAAGAAAGAATAGTTTGGAAGCGAACAATAGCGTTTTGTTTTAACTCTTTCATACTGTTTTTTCTTGTTTCCGGACTTCCAAACCTGCACAAAAAGATTGTTGTTGTTAGCGTTTGCCTGTTATTTTACTAAGTTGTATTTGTGTTTTGATTGAAATTAATTTTCTTGATATGGCTGGTGAAAATTGTGCAATATTTGGTTGTTCAACTTCGAGAAGACACAAAGGTATTAGCATTTTCTAAGTTCCTACTCCAACTAATGATGCAAATAAAAAATGGAGTATTGACCTTATTAACGTAGTTACTGGAGACAGACTCATCGATAATTCTTTGAAAAAACGAATTGATTCTTTTAATCTTTATATTTGTGAGCTTCAATTTTCTGAAGATCAATTTTGGGTTTACTCATCTCGAAAGATTTTAAAGGATTAAAGCATTGCCGACCCTAAATCTTCCCAAGAAAAGTAATCCATCGCAGCGAAGTTCGCTTTCTATTACAAAACGTGAGGAGTTTTTAGAAACTCAATAGTTGATTTCTCAAACTACACCGTCATGTTACAGATCTTTTGATGATTTTACTAAACGTATTTTAAAACTCTCTTTAGGTGAATGTTGGAAAATATCTTTTGATGAGAGATTTGCAATTATTACTTGTAATTCTCCAGAACATATTTTACCTAAATTCGAAATTTATATCGACGAGTTGCTAGACTATTGTATAAGAATTTTCGGTTGGATGTTACCAATAGATCATCTTTTGTACCTTCAATATAAAGGATCTTTTTTTAATCAATTTCTTTATCCAAATTTATATGTCATATTGAAACTCTTATTCTTTGCCCAGGTGTTGAAGTAAAAAATTTAGACTTAATCAACCAAAATTTTAAATTTGAAAAACATGTTATAACTAAAAAACTTAATTACCTGCTTTTTAAGCTGCTTCCTCATCAACCTAAATTAAATCAAAATGAATTTTATCGTTCACCGTATTGTAATGTTTTAATAAAATCCCAAAGTTGTTGTTCTTCATGCCATTCTTTGCAACTTAAATCTAATTATGAAGTAAATAATAAAACTAAAACTTTAAAACAACCTGCAAAGCTTAACGCTCCTCTTAAGTTTACCTCCACAGAAAGAATTAAATTAACTTTGCAACAACAACATTTAAAATGGAAACAGTTGGAAAGTCAAATTGAACAAATGAAATCAGTTTTAAATATGGAAAGTGAAAAGGTTAATTTAGAACTTGACATAGACCTTAAAACATTGTATTCTGGTTTTAATCAAAAAAATATTATAGACTTCATGAAACTATTTTGGAATGAGCAGCAAAATTATATTCAATCTTCTAGTCCCTGCAGTGTTAAATATCATCCAATGATAATGAAATTTTGCCTTAATTTAGCAGCTAAGTCTTCGTCAGCATATTCTGATTTGCGTTTTGATAGTAAGACTGGTTCAGGGTTTTTAGTATCTCCAAGTTTACGTACATTGAGAGACTATAAAAATTATATACATCCTTCAAGAGTTTTTAATGCTCAAGTCATAAGTGATCTTGCAAATAAAACTGCTAGTTTCTCTAGTGCTGAACGATTTGTTACAATTCTGTTCGACGAAATGAAAGTTCAAGAAGATTTGGTGTAGGATAAATACTCTGGTGAGTTGATTGGATTTGTAGATTTAGGAGAGATTCAAACAAACTATGCAACACTTAAAAATGTAAGAGAGCTAGCATCTAATGTTTTAGTTTTTAATGTTAAAAGTGTAGTAAATCCACTTTCCTATAGTCTAGCAACATTTGCCACAACTGGAGTAACATCAACAGTTTATGCCAATATTTTGGAAAGCAGTGCGTTATCTGGAAAGTGTAAACTTGAAAGTAATTGCTGCAACTGCAGATGGTGCATCTCCAAATAGAAAGTTTTTAAAAACGCATAAGAAATTAGATGGTGGCTCAGGAAAAAACATTATATATTGCACTAAAAACTTATTTAGTAATGATAATAGATTCATCTTTTTCTTTGCAGAATTACCTCATCTAATTTAAACTTCTAGAAACTGCCTAAGTAATTCTGGTTCTGGATGTAAATCACGCTACATGTGGAATAGTGGGTTTTTTCTTCTTTGGAATCATATCTCAACATTTTATAACTCCGATTTAGAATGAGGTTTAAAACTTGTTCCTAAACTAACAAGTGATCATATAAACTTAACACCGTATTCTGTAATGAGAGTACGACTTGCATTTCAAGTATTGAGCGAAACAGTCGGAAATGTTTTAAAGCAGTTTGGATCACCAGAAGCTGCTGGAACAGCAGAATTTTGTTTAATAATGGATATGTTTTTTGATTGTCTAAATGTAAAAAATAGTGCTGAATATATAACGAAAAGAAAGCCATTTTTAAAACTATATGAAACAGTAGATGATTCACAATTTACTTGGTTAGATAACTTTCTCCTATACTTTCAATTGTGGAAAGAATCTATAGATCAACGAGAAGAAAATTTTGATGAGAGCTCAAAATCAAAAATGTTTATTTCTTCACAAACTTATGAAGGTTTGCAAATTACAGTGCATTCATTCAAAGAAGTTGTTAAATTTTAACTTGAAAATGGTGTTCAATTTGTTTTTTCTGAGAGATTCTGCCAAGATGACCTTGAAAACTATTTTGGTAGACAACGTGCAATTGGTCGCAGAAAAGAAAATCCGTCTATCAGAGATTTTGGCTACAACGACAATACAATCAAGTCTCAGTTTTCAGTTTGTCCAATTAATGGTAATGTTCAATCTAACAGCAATAATATCATTGATATTGAAAATAATCCTTTACCAAAAAGAAAAAGAAAGTCGTTAATTCAAATTAAAAGCCAACATTAAGCTCACATTTATTGATAAAAAAAAAAGGTTATCATAACCACAAAATTTTAAAAGCATTATTTGCCATTTATGATGACATTATGACAAATCAGTCGTCCAATATAGACTATTTGGACCAGTCAGCCGCAGTGGCGCATACAAAGGGGGTGGAGGGGGTAACTATTTATAAGAAATTTCAAACTTCAAAATATTATTGATACAATTAAAAAATGTAATAAAAAACACCGGATCAAGGAGGGGGGCTAGAGGGACTATAGGCCCGGGCTCCGCAAATTTAAGGAGCCCCCGAATTTTTTGAGAATCTTTTTTTTTTTAAGTCACTTTTAGGCTCTGGCTCATAAAAAAGTCTCCAAAAACAACAATAGCTCCAAGCAGTTTTAATCCGCCACTGCTAGGAGGGCTAGACTTACCTCCTTTAACGGGAGTTAACCCCCCCCCCCCCCTCATATGAACTTCAAACTATTAACGACAAAATTAAAAAAAAAAATTTGAAAGTAAAAGTTAAGTTTTATGCGTCATTTAAAACAAGAAAATTAAAAAGATCCACGAATGTACTACCAATTTTTAAACAACAATTCAAATTTTTTCCAACAAATTAAATTTAAATTTAAACGTCTATTATTATAGATGTGCTCAAAGCACATCAACGTTTTCGGTGAAATTGGAAACGAAGAGCTAACTTAGGCCATTTAATAAGTTACTTATTAAATGATAATCTACTTGTGGCAGTGTACTTTTAAGGTGGTTCATACCCTTATTTTTAGTCAAAAATCAAAAAAAAAATTTAGCTTTTTGTTATGCAAAATTTTATAATAAATTCAAATATATTATTGGAATTTATAAAAATATTAAATATGTTGACTAAAATTCCTTTTTATGCAATGCTATAAAAATTACGCCCTTAGCAACACCATAGCAACGACTCCTCAATATTGAAATAAAGTACATTACAAGCTTGAAAACTTGCATTATTTTTTATTTTATTTTTTATTTTATTTTTTTAACAAACTACTACTAATAATAAATTTTTGATATGGATACTAAAAGTATTGAAGTACTTGTTGCTGGTTTACTTGAGAAACATAAAAATTCCAACTTAGATGAAACAAAAAAACTTTTAAAAAAACAAGAAAAGAGTTTTGCATCCTTAACAGCTGCAAACTTTAAAATGTTCACAGAAAGGCTGAATGAATATGAAAAAGATAATATAAATAATCTTCAAAAGATTAGCAAAATTGAAAATGATTTAGAGATAACAACTAAAAAAGTAATCTCTCTTGAGGCTGACTTTACGGAATTAAAGAAATACATAACGACCAGTGATCAAATTGCTACTGAGAAATTCGAGGTAGTAAAAAAGAAATCTAAAGAAATAAATAGTAAATTAAGGGATAAAAGTGAGTTATTAAAGGTAAAAAGCAAACTAAGAGAAACTGAAGATAGATCGAGAAGGAATAACCTGAGAATCGACGGTTTAAAAGAAAATGATAATGAAAGTTGGAGCAATAGTGAAGAAAAAGTGTTGAAGCTATTTGAAGAATCACTTGGACTGAAAGAAATTAAAATTGAAAGGGCTCACAGAACTGGAATCAGAGACGGCAAAAAAGTAAGATCTATAGTACTAAAATTACTAAATTATAAAGATAAAGAAAGAATCCTAAAAAATTCTTCAAAATTAAAAGGCAAAAACATATATATAAATGAGGATTATTGTGCGGAGACGGTACAAATAAGAAAAGAATTACGGATGGAAATGAAAAAAGCTCGAGAAGGTGGGAAATTCGCGTTTATATCATACGACAAGTTGATTGTACGAGAATGGTCTCCAAAAGAAAAGTAAATATTTTATGTTTCTTCTAGCTTAACGGTACCTTTTATTTTTCCTTTTTTTTATATATATGATTTAGATTGTTATTATATTCTACTTTTTTAAAAATGGATGATAATCTTTTATTAAATTTGAATACTGAAAGTGATGATGACTATTTCAATAAAAAAAACTTTGAAAGTGAGTATTATTCAATCCGTGAAGCTACTCATTTTTTGTGTCAAAAAAATAAAATAAATAGTTTTTCAATTTTAAATTTAAACATTCGAAGTATCAATAAAAATTTTGATAATCTAAAATTATTATTGCATGATCTAAATCATGATTTTCAAATAATTACTCTCACGGAAACGTGGTTAAAAAGCAATGAAAAAAACTATAATTATGAGCTAAGTAATTACGTGTCAGTCCACCAACCGCGTCAAAACCACGTTGTCGGTGGTGGTTTAAGTATCTTTGTTCACAAATCTATTAACTTTGAATTGCGTAACGACCTCAGCGTTAACGAAACAGATTGTGAGTCGTTATGCATTGAAATAAATAATAAAGCGACCAAAAATATAATTATTAGTTCTATTTATAGAAAGCCATCTGGTAATTTAAAAAAGTTTCATACCTATCTAAAAACATTTTTAAGCAAAATTAACATTACAAAGAAACACGTGTACTTAACTGGTGATTATAATTTAAACTTGTTAAATCATGCTTCAAATCTAAATGTTCAATGCTTTTTAGATACACTTATACAATACGATATCATTCCCACTATAAATAAGTCGACGAGAATAACTAAGACTTCGTCGACCTTACTAGATAACATATTTACTAATAATTTTCATAATTGCCCTTTAGAATCGGGTATAATTAAAACTGACATAACAGATCATTACCCAATATTCTTAACTACAGATATTATAACCCTTAATCATTCTGTCTCTAAATCAACAATATCAATGCGACAAATCAATAAAAACTCCATAATATATTTTCGAAATCTTTTATCTGAAAAAACTAATTGGGATCTTATATTACAATCGCAAGATGTGAATAATGCGTATGAATTATTTTTGGCGCAGTTTTGTAAATACTATGATTTGGCATTTCCAGTTATAAAAAAAATTATAAATCCTAAATCACTTTTAAACCCTTGGATGACCAAAGGTTTACTCAAATCATCAAAGAGGAAACAAAACCTTTATGAAAAATATTTAAAACATAACACATATAAAAATGAAACAAAATATAAAAATTATAAAAACTTGTTTGAAAAAATAAAGAAACAATCTAAAAAAAATTATTATGCAAAATTGCTAGAAAAAACACATGGAAACACACAAAAGACGTAGAATGTAATTAAGCAGATAATCGGTACAAATAAATGTCAAAATAATAAATTGCCAGAAAAACTTTTAGTTGACAGGGATATAATTTATAATAAAGAAGTCATAATTAACAAGCTCAACAAATTTTTTCTTGATATTGGACCAAAATTAGCTGATAAAATTCCAAAAACCAACTCAAACAACTTCGAATCTTATATAAATACACCCAACACATCTATGATAGAATCTAATTTAAACTTAAGTGAGATGCGCAATGCTTTCAACTGTCTAAAAAATAATAAATGTGCGGGCATTGATAAAATTAGCGTAAATGTAGTTAAAGCTGTGTTTGATATTATTGAACCATCACTGTTTCACATTTTTAATCTTTCTTTAAAATCCGGTATTGTACCGGAGAAATTAAAAATTGCTAAGATTATACCTATTTTTAAAAATGGCGATGATACAAATATGTCCAATTATAGACCTATTTCTGTCTTACCATGTTTCTCTAAATTGTTAGAACGAATTATGTATGATAGACTTAACAACTATTTAACTGAGAACAATATTCTGTATAATAAACAATTTGGGTTTAAAAAAAATCATTCAACGGACCATGCAGTAGTCGATCTAATAAATTATGTATCCAATGGGTTCAATAATGATTGCTATACATTAGGAGTTTTTATTGATTTGTCAAAAGCATTTGACACTGTTAATCATGATATTCTAATAAAAAAACTAGAAATGTATGGAGTATTAAACAATAACTTACAATGGTTTAAAAGTTACCTTTCAAACAGGAAACAATACATAATATATACAGAAAATGAAGAAAAAAAACATATCATAACTTGTGGTGTTCCCCAGGGATCAATCTTAGGGCCCTTATTATTCATACTGTTCATTAATGATTTGTGTTTAGCATCCAAAATTCTAAACGTTATTTTGTTTGCTGATGACTCAAATCTTTTTTACTCTAACAGAAATATTAAAGAACTGTTTAGAATTTTTAATGAAGGGTTATTAAAAATAAATGAATGGATTACGAATAATAAACTTTCATTAAATGTTGGGAAAACTAAATTTATGTTGTTCCACAAACCTAGTAAAGGTGATAACCTTTTTTTAAAACTACCTGATCTCTTTATGAACAAAAAAGTTATTAAAAGAGAGTCAACTATTAACTTTCTAGGAGTGATATTAGATGAAAATATCTCATGAAAATATCATATTAGATCTATTGAAAATAAAATCTCCAAAAATATTTCAATGCTATATAAAGTTAAACCTTTTCTTAATACGGAATCTTTAAAAATTATATATTTCTCATTTATTCAAAGTTATCTTTCCTATTGTAATCTTGCATGGGCAAGTACCAATTATGGGAAGCTCAAAAAAATTTATAGCAAACAAAAACATGCTTGTAGGATTATTTTTGGCGTTAACAGAACTGTTGATGGTGAATCTCTTTTAAAGAAACTTAATGTGCTTAATATTTACAAACTTAATATATACCAAGTTATGCTATTTACGTTTAAAACAAAACATGCGTTATCTCCTAATATATTTCAGTCTTACTTTACCGAAATATCTCATAAATATCCCAGTAAATTTTCATCAGATAATTTTGTTATTCCAAGATCTTATTTAAAACTCAATTCATTTCAAATTCAATACCGGGGACCATTTATATGGAAAGGTTTTTTAAAAAATATAATTAAAAATAAAATTCTTCGAGGCATCTCCTTAGAACAATTCAAAAGAGAATCTAAACGTTTTCTATTAGAAAAAACTTTCGATTTTAAAGATTTCTTCTAAAGTCACCTAAAATAATTAAACCTGAAAAAGTCATCACTACTCATTTACTATTGTCTTGTGTATCTTGTTTATTTCTTATTAAAATAAAAAAAATATATATACTATTAATTTTGAACAGACAAATAACATTTACTCGATTTATTACTTGTGTCTTATATTTGTCGAACTAATATTGTATTGTACTTCAATTTTTAACCTTTTAGTTTTTAACTTGTAACTTTGTGACGTTAATGTAAACGGGGCTTGGCGATAAGACAGTTTATGTCTTCTTCTTGCTCCGGCCAATTTTTATACATGAATGGTTTTTTTCTCATTGTAAATTTAATTATACGGCAAAGAAAATATAATAATATAATATTATCAAGTTGGAAAAAGTGTTATTGAGGCTGAAAAAGCAAGACAATAGTTATTTAAAATCCATACTTTAAAATAACATATTTTGCCACATGAAATTAGAGTTGTTTAATTTGCAGTCTTTACAGTTGTCAAGCGATTTTCATTTGTTTATTGCTATTGTTGTTTTATATTCCAAATAAAAATAAATTAAGGGTGTTTAATTTTAGAGGAAGTTAACTCATTCCTAGATCAACACTTTCAAAACATAAAAGAAAGTTCTGCGGTAACTAAACCTTCCGAAAAATTGTTTTTTTTATTAATAATGCTACGTAAATGGACAATCAAAGTAAAGCATTAATGAATAAAAAGTGCAGTAAAAGGGGAACTGAGAGAAGAGGGAAACTGAGAACCATCAGGAAAGAATTTGTGGAGGAGGAAAAACAAAGTGAAACTATACCAGCCTGTGCAGCTGAGGCCTATTAATTATTTTATTGCATTTTTCCTTTGTTTTTTAGTTTTAACCTATTTTTTTTTTTTAGTTATTTTCAGTTTTATATTTAAAATATCTTTCGATCTGATAGTCTAAATGATTTGAAATTTTCAGGGTATAATTGTAGTGGTATTGTAAAGGAGTTAAAGCAGAACTAAGGCAAAATTTTAAAAAAATGTTGATTAAATGGCTTTTTTTGTATACACCTCTATTGAATTTTTGCCTTTTTTTTACAATTTTTGTAATAGTTTTTGTAAAACGTGTAGGAAATTTTTGAAACTGCTTCAACTCCTGTGTAACTACCTAATAATGATAGCCTGAAAGTTTTAGGTTCAAAAAGCAAATCTTTCTTACTTAATCGCAGATTTAAATTTTGTCTTTTTAAGCATAAAAGTATGAATAAATGAGGCAAAAATACATGCACATTTTTATCTTTTAATTTAATGGAATTGTTCATAGATTTATATAGATTAACTAGAAAAACTACTTAAAATGACTAGTTTTCTTTGAAATTTTTTTTAAGGGTATGAACCACCTTAAGGTGCTCAAAGAATCCATCTGCTTGGGGCACCTTGATAAATTAAAAAAAAAATCCATGGAAACCGAACCACCCCACCTTTTTTTCACCTACGAATTTGTAAGTTCGTAAATATCAAAGAAACCGATGACCTTTTATATTTTTGACCAAATAGGGTTTCCCCTCCCCCAACCTTGAAAAACCCAGACACTGCTGTATTGGGGTTCAACAAAAAAAGAGAGTACTTTTCAATAAACTAGGGGATTTTTAAGAATAACAAAACGACTGTCTTATACACTTCTATAGCTCCATTACAAAAGGTGTTGGCAGTTTGAGATTAATACTTCTTGGGTTCTGGGGCTTTTAATGTTTTGGGAGTTATTTTATGTGCCAGAGGCTAAAATGTTTAAAAAAAAAAGTCCTTTATAATATTTTATATACCCTAAATTTTGAGACTCGGGTCAATATGCGGCAGTGTTGTAGTGGTAAGAGCGCTCGCTTTGTATGCGAGAGGTTCGGAGTTTGACTCCCACCACTTTCCTGGAAGTACCGCGTTCC